GGGCATCGTCGCTATTGGAGCAGTAAAATGCTTTTGTTGTTGGCGTCATCACTATCGGAGCAGTGAACTACTTTCTTCATCGGTGGTTGTTGTTTAGTTTAGTCGTTAGGTTTGGTTAGGGTTAGTTCTGTAGTTAGGGTTAGGGAATTAGTGTAGTTTCGCTTAGATCGGGTAGTATTAATAATAGTTTATTAGGGTTAGTTCTGTAGTCGGGTTAGGGTTAGGGATTAGTGTAGTTTCGCTTAGATCAGGTGGTATTAATAATAGTTGATGTATCGTGACATGACATAACGATTGCACAAATGATATGCGCATAATTTGCGATTTTTACTATATGAAATCGCATAATCCGCTTATTTTCATGCAGCATGTGAGCAAAAATTGATTGATTAAATGAGTAAACCGATTTGTCGCCGTGACTGTAATTACCCAACTTGTTGTTCTTTTTGGCAAAATTCGTATAATTCGCATACTTTATAAATAACTATCTTTGCATCAAATCGTAAATCGATCACATGATTATAATGCGGAAGCTTTAATTTTTATAAGTTATATGATAAGCTGGTATTTAATAAAATCAGCCAGGCTGGTGGTTAGTAAATCTCTTTATAAAATTAATTAAAATTAAACTTAAGTAATATAAATATAAATTTTTAAAAAATTAAACATAGTTTTTAATATAAAATTTATTAGTAAAATTTATTAATAAAAGACTAAAAAAAAATCAATTTTAAAAATTATAAAAATTATAAATATAATCTAAAGCTATAAAATTTTAAATATATAATTGCACTTATCTAAAATATATTATAAAATATTTAAACAAAATATTAAATTTTAAATTTAGTAGATAATTGGCTTTTAATTATGTCACAATTGAGTACAAGATACTACTGGTAGTATATTAAAATCTTATCCATTAATATATAATCTTGAACCTCAATATATTAAAAGTTTAATATTGTCCTAACTGCTACTATAAAATATTCAATTAAGAATATTTAGAAAAAATATATGTTGCTTTATTTAAATTTTTTATATATTTTTACTAATGTTTAAAAATTAATTATTTAGTTTAAATTGTTTATAAAGGCTGGTTGTTACAAAGGCTGCTTAGTATTATAATATCATTTTATTATATATCTATGTTGTATGTGTGAATTGAATTTAAGTGGGTTTGGAATTAATAAAATTATATAATTTAGAGTAAAATTCACTCTATATGAACCTACACCTTAACCTTAAAATCCTAGAAAATTCCATATCTACTTAAATTCCATCCTCACTTACAGCATCTATCCAATATTTAACAATAAAAATAAGAAAACGTTGCCAGCCACATATAACCCTAACTGGCTTCCGATCCTGAAAATTCTACAGATAGTACTTAGAGCAGTGCAAATTTATTTGAGTAGTAATATTGGAAGGGTTAAGTCCAATGAAAGGTGGCATTACAAGTCTTTAAAAATTATAGCAGAAATTATTGACACTACGATTATTATATGATAATTAATGATATAAGAAAATGTAAATTCTTAAAAAATTTTTTTGGAGTTATCTATTAAACAAATTTTAGACCTATCCAGGTAGAAATCGAAATAGCATGTTATTTTTGGATCAGGAAGTGTCATGACAAAAAATGTCGTTACGGGATAAATTAATAAATTCCAGGTTTGGTTTGCTTAATAATTCTTTAAATTATTTGATGTACATTAAAATTTATTAAAAAGCGATTTTATCTATTTCATAAACACAGACAATTCTCTTTTAAACACAAGTGCAAAGTTTTGGGTATTTTTTGGATAAAACACAAAATACATAGCATAAAAATATTAGGCACTTTTTAAGCGCTATCTGGCATAAAAATACTAATTCTTTTTTGAATACAGGCATTTTAGGCCTGTGGCTTTCTGTGCCTTTAATAATGCCTAGCACTTTGTGACTGTGTTAAATTAGTGTATGGCACTTTTATGTCTATGGATGTAAACATTGCATGAAACACTATTTCTTGGCATATTTGCTTAAACCTGAAATGAGACAATTTTACCGTAGCTTCAATGGAACGAAATTTAATTATTATACTCGACTCCTCCGACTCATTTATTTCAATAGAGGTAGAAGGATTGATAAATTTTCTTTCGCTAGCATTGAGATTCGCTATAATAAACGAGTTTTCCTGTAAAGATGTTATGAAATTTAATTTATGCATTCTTTTATATGTGAAATTTTATATAAACGGTTTTAGGGAATTAAATAGAAACTTCAAATTTCATTTTGAACTGATTTCGTTTAATCCGCGACATGCATTGTTACTTATTTATGTGTCATATTAAGAAAATTTTTTTAGCAAAAAAAATAAGAAAACCAAACAAATCTACTGTCTTTAGCATATTTTATTATGGCCGACGAAGTCGCCTACATGATATGTTTCTTGGTATTATGGTCAGAGTTTAAATATACGTATTCGAATCAAGAGTTAACTATTCAGACTTCAATCATTACCCGTTTTAGATCAGTGAAAAAATGTTTAAACCTGTTTTTTTTACTATCCTTAATCAGATTTACAGAATTAAAGCCCTCTATGCTAGCCAAGTAACGCACCTAGTATCGCCACCAAAATCAGTTACGTAATCGCCTTTTAAATTTAATCTGCACACAATAACAGAATTACCAAATCACGAGATTTCTTTAAGAAATAATTGAAGATTTTTTATCTATTTATTCAACTTGTTAGAATTTGCTTAATTATTACTACAAATTCTAAGTCAAATTACATTCAATTCGAATGTATTAAATGCATTTATATCCATATTCAAATTTTATAAAATGCACATATAAAGCATTAAATTTGTATTTAATGCAGCTACACTGCTAGTAAAAGTTATGTCATTCCAGGTTTTTGGAAGCTTTTTGCTCGTTCGAAATCTTTAAAGTCATCTATTTTTTGAATAGATTTGAAGTTCGATCCAATACTTTGAAGCCATTTTTGTTTGGGAAGACTATTAGACTTTTCAAGACAAATAAACGGCTAAAAAAAAAATTAATAAATATATTTATTTATTTAAACACGGAAATATAATTTGAAACATAGAATATAATAATAAAAAAGTTTTTAATACCCCATGAAAAGTTCTGTATATAAAATTTTGGATTCGGTTCGTTATCTTCAGTACTAGATTTCTTATTATCTATACTTTGGTTTTCTGATAGATCGTTAAATTGACTTGGTGTAATCAATTAAGGCGACGTTTGAATCTTTTCCCATAAAGTTTCTTTAACTTTGTAATAAAAAGATATTAAGAATTTCGTTGTACTTAAAATTAATATAATGTTATATTTAGATGCATCCATCTTTCCGAGAGGATTAATAAGATATTTACTAATAAGATTCTGTTTTTAAAAAAATAAGAACATACCGATCAGTTAAATCTTCTAATGCCACAATGGTAATGTTTGTTCATGCGGAGTAATTGAAACCAATGCAACTGTACTGGATATGACAAACAAGATTAATACTATATACAGTCAACCTTCATTAATAACAACCCATTGAATTAGACAATTGTGTTGATATATACGAGGGTTGATAACAACGGGATAGTTTTTATAGAGCCCAAACTTATTTTTTCTTAATAAGAGGTTGATATTTACGAGAGATTGAATATTAACGAAGTTGATATTAACGAGCGTTGACTGTACATATTTTTTCTCTTTCAAAACCCATAAATTTTTTATAAACTATACACGTATTCAAGTTTACATTTACACGGCATGTACGCTTCAAAAATGATTTATTATTAATTTGAAACACGGTATTTGGTTTCATAATTCGACAAAAACAAATTTTTGTGAAATGTGTATATTTCATTTTAGATATTAGCACACCGAAAATGTGTACAAGTTGGTGGCGCAGCTCTCCTGTACTACGAATCAAATTTCAAAATTAGGTGTAACGTAACACGATCAGGAAGATTCAAAACAAACGTTCGTTTTGCCAAAAATCGCCCATATCTCAAAAATTAGCATAAGAAACTACCTTTTGTGCTCTAACAAAAAGTTTTCGTTGGGCAATTTTACCAAACAAACTGCACCTCTCTAGATCCTAACCCTGACCCTAGCCTAACCTTAACGAATTTTAAGAATTTTGTCTGCGCCGCCAATCTTTGCTATTTTATGTTCAAATCGGGTTGAAGAATTATCGTAGCTTTGCGTAATTTATGTAATTTTAAGAAAATCTGTAAAACGTAATTTTAAGAAAGTCTACGTAAACGAATTTCATATAATTTGATCATGCGAATAATGTTGGCCAAATCTTTTGTAGAGCTGGCATAAAAAAAAAAAGTAAAATTTCAGTTCCGAACATAATATAGATAATGTTAGTGAAATCATCACGTAAATTACAATGCAATTTAATGTAAAATAGAAATTTAATTTTGCGTAATACAACCCAATGTTCAAAGAACAAAATCAGCGCTTAGATCAATAGGCTCGCACAATGTTTAATAACTAAATACTTTGATTTTAATTATACCCAATTAATAAAGGGGGCTACTATTTCCACAACAGAAATTGCTATTTCCACAATAATTACACAAAAATTTCTATTTTTAACAACCAATCAAATTTAAAAAACTAATTTTTTAAAAATTAAAGAAGTTTTTATTAAGTTAGGGTTTGTTGGGCTTCTAAGTAATGTTGTAGAGGAGATTTTTCTGGTTCTTTATATGGGCGGATTTGACTCCATTCGGTATGTGACAAAATCCAATTTTGTCACATATAATGATCAAAACATATTATCAACCAATCAAATTATTTTAAAATTTTGATACATATCAGATATTATATGAATACGTAACAATAGCATTAGACTTTTGATGGCTAGTAAATGCCAACTTTGTCAAGAAATTTTCTCTTTTCAAAAAAAGCTTGCAATTCATGAAAGAGCCAAGCATCAAAAAAACAAAATCATACCTCATCGCTATTCACTTATTCAACCTCTCCTTGAGCAAATCATGTTTTATCAAGATGCATTTATAGTTCTTATTAAAAAATGGCTTGGTTTTAATAGACATGCAGTAGGCGCAAAACAAGTTTCTATTAATGCTTTTTCAGAAAATATATTTGTTTTTCTTTTTGAGCATGAGCCTTCTTTCTGATATAGTCCTGTACAATGAAAGTATTTATGTTTATTTCAGAGTGAGGCTGGTGAACATTGATTAAAGCAGTTAGTTAATTATGATCATTGGAATATTTGGCAAGATCCAAAATTGAAAACAGTTGGTTTTGTTTTATTTATAGATCATGATAGTTCCTATAATGTTAATTTCATTTGGTCACAATCAGAATTAAAAGAGAATGGTTGTATCTTTCAATGTGGTACTGTCATCTATAAATTTATAGTAGATTCAAGAAAATTTTCTGAATGGTACAAATTGGAATATGGAGTCTTCTGATAACTTTTTGAAAAACTTTTTTTTTTTTTATCAATTTGATTTTATTTTAAAGAAAAAATTTAATTATTTGTTTATAAGACCCGTTGTAACCCAAGCAAATCAAACTACTTCGCAAGAGTTACAAGAATCAAATCCACAAGTTTATAATATTGAATTGCGCAAGAATTCCTCAGATAATATAGAATCAACTCAAGATCAAAGAAATTATAGGTTTATACTACCCCGTGTGCCTTTTCAGCAACTCAACAGATAGATCATGTATACAGATAAAGACGTGTGATTTATATTTTTATTGGTATTAATATAAAATTCGATTTAATAAGTAATCTTTGATATAGTCGATGTAATTTATTGAGATGGCTTTAATAATGTAAGTCTATATCATTTTCTTATACAATATTTTAAAAAAAATTACCTATAAGTTAGGCTACACAAATTTACTGTCTTGGTATTCATAACATGAAATTTTTAAATAGACCCAACCAGTTGGCTTTTTTTTAAATTTCATATATAAAAGGCTTTTTAAAAACCCACCCGGTTATTAAATAAAAAATTTTTTTTATGAGTTTTCAAATTTTAACCCAGCCGGGTTATGAAACCAATGAATTAATTTTGCATGGCCTTAGGCTGAAGTTTCTTTTTTTTAATAATATAGGTAATTCTAAAAAATCTAAAGCAATTATTTATTATAATAAATCAATAGAGTTGGTTGAATATAGAGATTGGTATTTTTGATACTATATTTGTGCTTGGTAATTGTTATTGATATGTAATTAATAAATATAAAGCATTGTTCATTATTAAGAACCTGTTGAGATAATAAAATATAATATAAGATTTTTTTTTAAAAAAAAAAGTTATTTATAACTATTGAAATAGTAATACCCACGAAAGGTTTTTCACTTTGTAACTGCTAAACCAATGATATATTACCCCAAATAGAATATATTGTGTTATATGCTGTTATAAAAAAAGAAATACTGTAAATTTACTAAGATGGGTAATTCTGATGTAATATTCACATCATAACCTAATTGATATATGTAAATTAAAAAATATTTAAGAAAATTAAAATTGCATAACTCAATACAAAATTTTGAATAATAATATTCTTTAAACTAACCGATTTATCTAACTGATAAATTATATATACTTAGAATTTTGTCAGTGTGATTAATTTTATAATTGACTTATCGCATAAATTCCAAAAATGAATCTTTAGTAAATCGACTCCAATTCCACAAAAAAAATAAAGCAATCACCTAATTATCCTGACCGATTTTTAGTACCATCAACTTCATAACTACACAAGATATATTAGCTTATCACATAAATTTTTAAAAGATGAATCAAATGATTATCCCAACTGATAGATTATATTTCATTAGCGCCACTAACTTTCATAACTACAAGATGTATTATTGGCTTATATAAATTTCAAAATGAATCTTTGATAAATCATTTCTATTCTACAAAAAAGTAAAGATATCATTGCAATTTTTAAATCAATCAACTAATTTATCCCAATCGATAGATTATATCTACCAAGAATTTTGTCAGTGCCATTAACCTTCATAACTACAAGATGTATTTGCTTATTGCATAAATTTCAAAACAAATCTTTTGGCAAAACAATTTCTAGTTCTATGAAAAAGTAATTTGTCTTTTTTTATCAATCTATGAAACAATTTTAGCTGTATTTGCTTCATTGATAATGGTCGAAGATGAATTTTCCTTATTATTAGCATTAATATTT